GAAATCTGGTTAAATTCCTCTCAAAAAAAAGGAATTAAGAATAACAGATCAACATTCACTTGTACCAACAGATCAACCGACACTTTAGATGACTCTTTGGTAGAGATACAACTTGGGAAGGCTCAGATTGGGAAATTGTTAAATTTCAATGTAAACTCTTCAAGTTGGGTAGCCATCTTGCGTCCCTACTCTTTGGTGAGGCAAGCAGTTAATAGAACTGAATTAAAATGGGGGTGATCAACCAGGAAAGTAGACTGTAACTTGTAAGCAAAATGGTGGAAAAGGAGGATTAGGTAGTAGGAGCTAGCCTAAACATGAACATTAATAGCATTCCATTTTAACATAAATAAAATATTGACTGGTTACTGATCAGGAAAAAAAATCTTTGATCAGTAAAAAACATAGCATCTTTAATTGTTAATAGATTTTTTTGGTAAAATAATCGTTGATAGTTTTATGACATGCAATCGATTCATCAAATACTTAAGATATTGCATTACTGCACCTGAAATATTGAAATTAATAGATCTAATATGCTATTGTCCCCTTGGATATGATGGTTTACCATGTTTTGATATAAATATTCACAAGAACATTGATACTTTCAATTTGTATAACTGCTTAATGGTATATAAAACTAGGAATTTAACCTGGAACTTGGTTCTTTTTTTCCTTTGTCAAATTCCATCACCTAGGCAACTAGTAACACCAACGTTGTCTTCCCTTGAGAACCATGCAAAGGATACAAACGGAAATAGATAGCTCTAAGTGAGTTCAATGTTTTAATTGAAAAGGGGCTGGACAAACAGTTAGCGATTCAGTTACTGGATTAAATGAACTAAAACAGAAAATGAACAAAAGAAAATAATAAGAGTAGAAAAAATGTATAAATATGGAGCAGAAGTATGCTCCACAAGATTTGTAAGGATTTCCAGGAAATGACAACATACCACAGATATCATTTTTCTCCAATAGAACATCGCTATTTAGAGTAGAAGTAACACTATAACTTTTCTTTTCAACAGAAAACAAAATATTATGCAAAATAAAAGAAGCATGTAAGTTTGTATATATGGGCTATCTAATCCAATTTGGAATGAAACTACAACAGGCTGCTACCATTTTTTGCTGGTTTTTTGCACACCTTTCTACTCATCATATCACTTTTTTGGGGGGTGTTCTTTGAAGGGATAGGATATCCATCACATAGACGCCCAAAGATTGCGGAATAAGGGGCGAATTTCAAAAATTTTTTTCTCCCTTCAACTGGGAATCGCATTCCCTATTTTAGAAAAACATATTTTTCAAGGATCAATCTTGAACCATTAACCAAACCAGATCTGAACCAAAAGGAGTAAGAGGGAGGATATACCTGATACGGAGAAATAATATCTTTCAATGGAGTTCACACCCAAGGAAGGATCCAAAGACTGCTCCCACTGAAGATGGCGCAGTGCAGG